GCAACCCTGAAAAATAGCCTGGGTAAAGGCAGTTGATGCCCTGCATCATGGGCACCCCCTGCAAGAGTGTGTGGGATACTCAGGACCCAGGGTGGGCTGACCTTTCCCAAAAATCAAATACCTCTGGGGGCACCTGGGTAGCTCAGTCAGTTAAGCATCCGACTCTTGATTTCAGCTCAGGTCATGATCTCAGGGTCCTGAGATCAAGCCCTACATGGGGCTCTGCACTAGGTATGAAGCCTGCTTAAGATTCTCTCTCTCTTCCTCTCCCTCTGCCCCTCCTCCCAATAAAAAATAAAAATAAAAAAAATACCTCTGCTGACTTAGCCTGTCAAACTGGGGCGGTGATGCCAACTATTTTATAGACATTGTGCTTTCATTTGTTAAACGAGTGGTCGTGTTTAAGATATGTATATAGTGTAACAATGACACATTCCTATATTTAATTAGCATATACCATTACTAAGTGGAATTCAGTGGAACTAACAAAAATTCATTCTGGTCCTACAATAAAATGAGCAAGATGATCAGGACTTTTTAAGATAAAAAATGTAGGTGAGTAATTTAGGATGTAAGAGAAAGCACAAAGATAGTTGCAAGGGCTTGTGACTGAGCAACTAGGTAAAAGAAGGTGATATTTAATTTAATATTGGTGGAGTATTGGGTTTGAAGCGTGGGGAATCGGGTGTTTGGTTTTGGACACATATATCTTGGACGTGCCTATTGCCTATTAGACATCCAAATAGAGATATTGACTAGGCAATTGTATGTATGGGTCTAGAATTTATGGGAGAAGCCAGAGTGGGAAATAGAAATTTGAGACTCATTGGTATATAGATGGTTTGTAAAACATGAGTCTGGAAGAAACAATTCAGGAGTGAGCATAGGGAGAGAATAGATAAGGAGGCATACCAATATTGAGAAGTCAAGAAAACGTTCATGAACCAGTCGAGGAGAATGAAAAAGGTGAATAGTAGAATGGGAGAAACATCAAGAGGGGCTCATCCACACAAGTGAAGAGAGTGTTGAGGAAGGAGCGGGTTCTAGCAACTGTGACAAATGGGGTGCATGGTCAGGCGAGGTGGGAACAAAGAACGGACTACTGTATGCAGCAAGTCCGTGATGAGTGGACATCTTCACAAGAGTGCTGGGGTCAGATGGTGAGGAAACTCCCATCAGTTGGATTCCAGGGAGAAGGATAAAGAGAGATTGGAGACAGACAGGAGATAGAAGGCAAGTCTGCTGAGGTCTGGGAGAGGAAAGGAGTGGCCACCAGAGGAGAATGTGAGCCAGAGGAGGGTTTTGTTTGTGTTTTGCAAAGACGGGAGCCATAGTAGCATGGCTGAATGCTGGTGGGACGGTAGAGAGAAACACTGATGGCAAGGAAAGAGGAAGACATGATTCAGGGGAAGAGACAGACGTCTGAGAGCCAGTTACTGTGCAGTGTGGTTAAGTCCGCAGAGAAAGATACATAGAGGCCGGGAGACTGTGGCGTGAAGAGCGTGAGCACCCCCCGAGAACACTTTTATGGTTCTTGCCCACTTATCCCATTCAAAGATAAATACCACCTGTTAAGCCGGGCTTATGATCTCTATAATTAAGTTTGTAATGTGAGCAAGGCCTTACAGAGGATATGGGATAGCGGAGCAATGATAGTGACTTTTTGTTGTTGTTGTTAGAGAGTTTCTTTGAGTTTTTCTGGACACTGTCTACTAGATCAGCAGAGAAATGTAAGGCAGTTTCTCCCACCTTTTTTTTGTGTGTGTGTGCAAAATTTAATGAAATAAAAAACAAAAAACAACCAAACGAGAAATCATTTTCTTCCAAAAGCTCAAACCAAAAGAATGCTCATTACTTCATCAGACAGCAGTTCTTTTTTGTGTCTGCAGAAGTGGGCAGGTGGAGATAGAGGTGGCACAGGGTGGAGAAAACAGAGCTCACCGGGCTGGCTGCCTGGTGGTGCCTGCAGTTAAATGATTCCCTTCCTTCAGGTCTGGCCCTGAGGTGTTGTGCGTATTGTGCCAAAGCCAAGTGAATGGGGGAACCCATCACTTGCCCTTTGCAAATATGGCTTTCAGTGGTTTGATGGAAAACCAAGGTGTTTCTTTATTGTTTTAACCTACATGGATGGTAACAAGCTGTTTTTCTAAGGCTTATCAAAGGTTGCTTCGCAGGTGACCTGAACTGGAAATTTTCCAGTGTGGTTAAAATAAGGTGCCTTCTCAAAGGTTAGCTGTTGTTTTTGTTTTTGTTTGTGCTTTTCCTTTATTTCTCCCAACCCAAGACCCAGGGCTCCTAGAGGATAGCACCCAGCCTGGGGAACTTAATATGACGTTCGCAGATGCCAGGTATTCTGCCTCCAAAATAGATGGATTGAGGAAGGAAGGAAGAAGGGAGGGAGAGGAACCTGTCAGATCATTCCCGTTGACATGACATGACAACTGCAAATACTTCAAAGAGCAAATAGGAGACTCTAAAAGGAGCTGTTTAAGTAGAGGTTGTTCAAAGACAGTGTCCGTGATCCGTTGCATATAACCAATAAATTGTATTAGTTATAAACTACAATATGTTGTATTTTTAGAAGCTGGGGTTACGCTAGGTACCAGGCCATACTTGCTTCCTGTAGTTGATCAGTGTTGTTTTATTTGTGACAGTGCACTAACCTCTAGATTATCTGTCCAGTGGAAGGAGTCAAAATCCGGATTGGGGCCTGTGTCCTATCTTTATTTCTATGTCCCATATTTACAACTGCTGGGCCCTCATTTTTTTTCCTAAGTGGATACTGATAGGAAAAAAGCATGCAAAACAACAGTTAGCGTCCTTAGAACACATTATATAGTTTCAAAATTGCATTGATTTTTTTTTTTTTTCCTGGAGTGGTTATTAAATCAGTGGCTTCATGGAATCTGGAGTTCAGTGGAATCACCCAACTCCGTAAACCATGTTTATACCCATTTTCATTTACGTAAGTTAAAAATGACAGGATACGTGTTGATTAGAAAACTGTTTATTACCTCCTGTGTTATTTCAAAGTGACAGACTGAAAAGCAAATAGGACGTAAGGTGTATCTTCTACTAAATTTGGTCAAAATCAGTTTACACTCCAGAAAGTTAAAGTTAAGCTTAAAAATGCCTGAAGCCGGATTGATGGAACACAGTGAATGACCTCCCTTAAAAAGTGTGTGTGTGTGTATCACAGTTTATATTATCAAAAGCATTCCCGAATAAAGACATGCAGAGAGGTAAGACGAAATCAAATGCATGACAGGGAACATATCTCAATGTACCCATCCCTCCCCACCCCCCAAAATCCACTTACTGCCCCCATGCATGTGTTCCCCATGCCAAGAAGGGCCAGCCACCTGCCTACCATGCAGGAGTCTTTGGGATCTTCCTTGACCCCATGTTCTCACCCCCTCGTCACTTGGCCTGTTTTAGTGCTAGTATCTTGTAATTTTAAGTATATTAGCTGATTGTTTTGATGTCTAAGTTCTCCTATCATTCTTATTTTGCTAAATTTTCCTGGTTACTTTTACTGCCCCCGACTAATTTAGAGCTGACTTCTCAAGTTCTGTTAATAAAAATCCTTTTGGAATAGGTATCGGAATTGTATTGCATGCACTGAGATAAAATTGTCAACGTGATATCGTTATGTAATCCCATCCAGGAAGTGTCTTTTTAAAACCCAGATCTTTTGAATATCCTTTTACTAAGTTTTATAGTTCTTTTTGTGAAGATTTTATGCATTTCATGATAGGATTGTATATTATATATATACATGGATGGATTATATAAGTGTATATAGTTAGTGTCTGTATAGTATACTATATGTATTTTATACATTATTATATATGAGTACACACATATATATCTATTCTCTCTCATGTAGGTGTTTATTCTGTTTCTTTTTTAAAATTAGCATATGGGACGGATTTGTATATGTTGATATGTCTAATCACATTATTAAACTTGGTATTTTTAAATGAGAAGAGATTGTCTTAGATATTTTAGGACAAAAACTAGATCACTCATGAACAACAAAAATCTTGTTATTTCATTTTTAGTATCTATACTTCTACCTCTTTGTTTCTTATTTAATTTACTGCGACATGCAGAACTGTGTCAAATAGCAGATAAAGAGTATCCTTGTGTTATCTCTAGTTCTAATGGAAAGGCTTTTAATGTTTAATTATTAAGTCAGATGTTCACTATAGATTTCTGGCAGATGTTTTTTTTATCATGTTAAGGAAATTTTTCTTCTCTTCTTAGGTTACTAAATAGCTTATGGTTCTCTCCACTTTCCAAGTTCACAAACGTGCCCAAACCCCTCTGTACCCTTTCTCACTGCTGATTCTTTGCTCGTGGTTGGTCCCCGCTAAGATATGCTTCTGACATCTTTTAAGACTACTATTCACTGTTCCCTCTCTATGAGGCTTTTCTGGACTGGCTTCCTGTGTCTCTCTCATTCTTCCTTTTGCCTACTCTGTAACTATTTTTGGCATATCCTTCTCCCTATAAAACTACAAAGGCCTAGAACTGAGTGCCTTAACTATTTATCTTTGTATCCCAAATGCCAAGACCCTAACATGTGTCTAGCAGAAGTACCATTAAAATGGTCTTAATAAATTAATGAATATAAGAATTATTGAAAAGTTTTCTATGGATAATGCAAGTAGGTGATTCCTCTGATTTGGATAATACTTTATTGTTTCTTGGAATTTCTTTCTTTCTCTATTTCTTAGAATTACTTAGAATTAGTTTGCAATTTCTTGAACTTTGTCCATTGTTTGGTTTCTAGTAGCACATGTTGGGTCATGGCCCTATGAAAATGTGCCAGTTATTGGAGAGGAGGAAAAATTAATAAAGTGTTACATGTACTGTATTAAGTCTTGAGAGGAGGATATCTTTTGTTGGTTATCAAAGCTCAGGAGAATAAAAGTTATTCTTGAATTTTTCACTTAATTCTATAAGAAGATATACTATTTTTTTTTTCTGTGCAGGGAATTACTATCCGACCACTGGTGGAATTTCTCGATGTTAAGAGGTCCAATAAGAAGCAGCAAGCGGTCAGTGAAGAAATCCATTGCCGGGTAAGTGTTAATGTAGTAATAATGATTTAAGTGATAAAAGAAAAACTTGTAGGATTCAGTCGACAGCTTGACATTCTAGCACTCATTTCTTGAAGGAGAGGGAAGTGGCAGAGGGTAAAAGGGAGAGAGGGCCAAGAAGGACTTGAGTCGGGGGGTGTGAGCACAGCCGTACAGTGGCTTCTCCAAATTAACCTGCTAGACCTCCTGGGAATGGGGGAACAAGGAATCCCTCTGTTTTTTAAAGATTTTATTTTAGAGAGAGAGAGCGAGTGAGAGAGCATGACCAGGGGAGAGGCAGAGGAAGAGGGAGAGAGAGACAGAATCCCAACTCGGGGCTCAATCCATGACCCTGAGATCATGATCTGAGTGGAAACCAAGAGCCAGATGCTCAACCGACTAAGCCACCCAGGCACCCCAGGAACAAGGAATCCCTGTTGTTACTTCCTTCAGTCTGAAAATGTTTCTACTGGAAAATTATCACCATATTTCATATTTTCCAAAATTATGAACAAACTGTTATGAGAAAAATAACCTGAGAATTGCCTATTATTAATATAATAAAATCAGTGTATTTGGAGAGGAATCATTGCTTTTAGTAAAAACAAAACAAAACAAAACAAACAAACAAAAACCCAACAACAGAAAAAAGCAAAAACGGTCAGGGTCTTTGAAGTGTAGGCATGATATAAGTAGAGTGCAAATTACTGATTTCAGGTAAAAATTAATCGGTAGCCTACTTTTTCTGTTTTAGTTTTTTGATCATGTGAAGACTGGGATTGAAGATGTTTGTGGACATTGGGGTCACAACTTTTGGAGAGACAAGTAAGAAGGTCTTATGCCATTATAGTATGAAGGGGCTCTGGCTCACTCTGGAAGCAGGACTTACTGACCTGTGTTATTTCTCAGTGTTGCAAATCTTTCCTGTATTGTGCTGTAGTATGTACTTTGAGATAAAGTTCAGCAATCACAGAGACCTGGAGCAAGATAGAAGCTTATCTTGCTCTTCTGTAAAAAGCCAGAACTCTGTAGGCAATGTAGGTGTAATAGGTGAGCTCTGCTCCACAGACTCGTCATGGTCCCAGGACGCTTCTGTCCTGGTCAATCCACGAACCACTTCCATTTCCAAGATTGCCTTTTAGACCAGAATGGCTGCTCCCGCGTTAGTCATCGTGCGCACATTCCAGGTTACACATAGGAAGAAAGATAATGAAGAGACAAAGAATATGTACTAGCTTCCTCCTAACTAGAGTTACCAGAAGCTTTCACACAATTCTTCCAGTTACACACATGGCCTGGCCTTCTGTGGCCAGCACTCAGTCATGCGGGCTCTTCTCACTGCAAGGGAGGCTGAGGAATATAGTCTATTTGGTGAAGCACTGAGGGTTCTGTTACTGTTTGTTGTCCCACACATGTCGAGGGGCTTTGTCAAATGCAGAGCTTCGGAGCACCTGACAATATAAATAGACTAACAAGTATTTTACAAATAAATTTTTAAATACAAATATTATAACAAATAGAAATAAATATTTTAAAAGCTGCACTTATATGAAAGATTATGTGTGCTTATATAATGTGTCTGTCTATCTCTGTTTGTTTTTAACCTTTAAAGGCTTTGTGGTAGGGGTGCCTGGGTGGCTCAGTCGTTAAGTGTCTGCCTTCGGCTCAGGTCATGATCCCAGGGTCCTGGGGTCGAGCCCCGCATTGGGCTCCCTGCTCAGCGGGAAGCCTGCGTCTCCCTCTCCCACTCCCCCTGCTTGTGTTCCCTCTCTCTCTGTGTCTCTCTCTGTCAAATAAATAAATGAAGTATTTAAAAAAAAAAAAAAGCTTTGTGGTGGATAAATAAGATTCAGTGTCTCTCTTCAAGGATCTTTTTTTTTTTTTAAAGATTTTATTTATTTGAGAGAGAGAGTGCGCATGTGCGCGAGTATGAGTGGGGAGGGGCAGAGGAAGAGAGAAAGAATCTCAAGCAGACTCTGCACTGAGCACAGAGCCTAATGCAGGACTCGATCCCGTGACCACAAGATCATGACCTGAGCCGAAACCAGGAGTCAGACACTTAACCGACTGCGCCACCCAGGCGCCCCTCTTCAAGGATCCTGTAGTTGAAATGGGCAAGGTACACTATCCAGGCAGAATTAAATACATGTTTTCATATAAACTGAAAAACAGACTTCCAGGATTAATTCAGACAGCAGGGTTGGGGACCACAGAGCGCAGGAGCCAGCTCACCCAATCTCCAGGAGCTGACCGTGTGCCTCTCCTCCTGACTTCATATTCAGTGCCATCCACATGGGTAGCCGGAGTCGTGTTCCATGTGCCGTGGAACTGACAAATGCTATAAACCAGGGCCTATTTTTTTCCCCATAAAACAATTTGTTAACATTTATCAGCACATCACTGGTTAGGGAAGCCTTTTGAAGGAGACAGACAACAGATTTAAACTATATTTTGGTAGATTCCTCTTACTTTCTTGCCTTTGCTTTCCTAACTTGCTAATAGATGCCTTCCCTCCCCCCTGCTAATTTACGTGAAGTTGACCAACCTACCAATTTATGTAATTTAACATTAGGGAGGTTTTGAGTGCTTACTGTTTGTTCACATGTTCTGACATGATGCTGGATTATAGGAGAAGTATAAACCATGAACTCAGGACTTTAAAATTTTGCAATATAATAAAGGCAACACAGCAATGGGTGTGTGTGTGTGTGTGTGTGTGAGTGAGTGCTATCATTAAGTAATAAGATGAGTTACAGAGACTCTAAGTGCTAAAACACCCTTTACAAACCTGACCACACTGTTTACTAATGTAGAAAAGCCTCTTTGACCTAGCCTTACTTTATAAGCAAAGAAAAAATAGTTATTTGTATGGCGAGAGCACCCAGTTAGCTATGTGGGAGCACAAAGTAATAAAGCAAACTAAAATCTTCATTGCTAAAATAGGGGGAAAAAAAGGACCATTTATCTTGGGCAGGATTCACATTTTTGCAGGCAGGGGGTGGTTGAAAGAACCAACCCTACCCAGCTGCACAGAACTCTCTACGCACTACCCTGCTTTATGTCCTCGGGACCTTCCTAACAAAGATGGGTCCTTGTCTTTGCCAAGTCAGTGATTCAGACTTTTCTGCCTCTCTTCCTCTGTTTTTTTCCTCAGCCAGACCTGTTTTCCACCTACCTCCTCCCTATCCACCCGATCACTTTTCTCCCTCCTCCAGCATCCCATCAGTCCTTCCCTGGAGGGACAAGAGAGAGTAGTTACCCAGGACAGCTGGTTCCTTTCCAAAGTGGAAATTGGGTTAAGGATTTATACCACTCCTCTGCCTCCCAAACGGGGATATAGATGTGAGCAGGTGTAGGAATCAGGTCAGCATCCCTGGGGCAGTGTTAGGAGGAAGTCGTGGACCGTGTGGTCATGTGGTTTTGGTCTGGAACCTCAGGTAAAGGAACGTCAAAGAAAGTCTGGTTACATCCTGTCTTTCAGGCAGAGATACTCTGTTCTCTGGGGTACATGAGTCTGTTCCAGGCAAACATCTAGAGGCTGCCAGGCTAATTGGACTATAAATACTAAAGATGGCAGAGCCAAGTCTGATTTCACGTCTAAAAGGTAATATTGCTACGTGTCTCAGGTTTTTCTCTGCAGTGTACATATTTCACTCAACCCCTGTATATTTCCATGCATGACATTCTCCAGGTAAATTTCAAAATAATTCCCTGGATTGTCAAGCCCACTGGATATCGCAGGTAGAGCAGGGAAGTGTGTGTGGGTATGGAGGAATTTGGTGCTGACGCAGGTCATTCTTAAAATTAGCTCTGCTCAGATCCTATCTCTGGTATGTACATAATTGTTGATGTTACTAAAGATCACATATAAAGAAGTGGATTGTTTTAGGTATGTTGGGTTTCTTTCCATTTCCTCTGGAATCCTTAATGCTGTGGCTTTCTAGTGGTCTTGCCAGAGAATTTGTGAGGTAGCTGATCCTTTGAGAAAGGGTAAGGCTTAAACCTTTGAGTAGGGAAGTTTCTCAAACTTGGTAAAAGGAGTCTAATGATGGCGAGAGAGAGTGCCTACGTGTAGGTTGGCAGAGAAATGAAAGGCGTGAAAATAAAGCAAAGAAAGTGCACAGTTCCTATAAATTAGATGCCCTTGCCCTTAATGCTTATTCTTTCTTTTGTTTCTCTCTAGTGAAAAGCCAAAACAATAATAAGAATAACAGAAGTTTAAAAAGATGCGTTGCTGCCAGGAGTCCTAGCCCAATGAGCCTCGTGTGAAATTCAGAATAAACATAGAAAAAACTGGGCCCCTGTTTCATGTAGTGGCCAGTCAAAAGGAGGACTCTTTAATTGTTTATTGCCCTCCAGTGTAGAACAAAGGGCTAGTACCAAGAATGTGGGTTCACATTGTTCCTTTCATAGCACGGGTGTACCTATAAACCTCCTTGGGCTTATGGTAATCCCCATAATGCGTTTTTTTTCTTTCTCAACAAATATTCATTGCATGCTGTTTTGCTTACCTATTGGCATAATAATGTTACATAACAAACCACCCTGATACTCAGCTGCTCAAACAACAGTGACATTATTATTATTATTATTTTTTTAAAGATTTTATTTATTTACTTGACAGAGACAGAGACAGCGAGAGCAGGAACACAAGCAGGGGGAGTGGGAGAGGGAGAAGCAGGCTTCCTGCTGAGCAGGGAGCCCGATGCAGGGCTTGATCCCAGGACCCTGGGACCATGACCTGAGCTGAAGGCAGAAGCTTAACGACTGAGCCACCCAGGTGCCCCACAACAGTGACATTATTAAAGTGCATGAGTCATGCACGAGTCTGAGAGTCCAGGCTCTGGGCTGCGCTGGGCTGCTGTGGACTGGTCTTGCTCATGCTTCCCGGGGTTGGTTGGTTTTGTCAGCTGATCCCGGCTGGCCTTTTCTGATGTGACTGGAGTGACTGAACTCTGCTTCATGTGGCATTCACCTTTGTCCGGGGACTAAGGAGTCACTCCACACATATCCTTCTCATGGTAATTATAGAAACAAAAGAGGTAAGCTTCAATACACAAACCCATTTTAAGCCTCTGCCCCAATTGTCATGTCTGCTACAGCCCACTGACCAGAGCAGGGAACAATATTGAGGAAATAGGACAGCGCAGGTCACCTAGGCCGTGGTGGAAGGACATTGCCAAGGAATAGGGCAGACGGTGTGGATACGGGGAGGAACTGAGACCAAATGATCCATTCTACTCTCTGTTTATAGTGTGCCAGGCACTGTCCGAGGCCCTGGTGATAAGGGAAAACTGGGAAAAAAGCAAATCTCTGCCCATATATATCATTCTAGTGCTAGGGGACAGAAAGTAAGATAAATTATAGAGCGTGTTTGAAAATGATAATTGCTGTGGAGAAAATTATAGCTGGCAGGTAGAATAGGAAGCTCAGGGGGTGGGAAAAGGCATGCAGTTCTAATGGGATGGATGGGAGAGGCTTTTCTGGTAAGTGACTCCAGAGGAAAGATTTAAACTGAGCCCTGCAGGTGTGTGGGGGAAGGATGTTCGTGGTGGAAGGGATACTGGGTATAAAGGCCCACGGGTCGGAGCAGAGCTGGCGAGCTTCCAGGGCAGGAAGGACGCCAGTGAGGCTGGATGTGAGAAGCGCACTGCTAAGAGACGCAGCTCCAAATTGTGTAGGGCCCCCAGGTCATTGTGCGTTTACTCAAGTGAGATGCAGGGTTTTACATGGTTTGACTTATATTTTATCAGGCTCACTCTGGCTTCTGTGTCAAGGGTAGTCTGTAGGAATGCAGTGGTGGAAGCAGGGAGACCAGTCGGGTGCCTGTTGCCAGAATCCATTAAGGGATGATGATGTCTTGGGCCAGGGTAGATACAAGAGGTAGGAGTGTTGAAGTAGTGAGGCATGGTCGGATTGTGTGTGTGTGTGCGTGTGTTGATGGTGGAACTAGCAGAAATTGCCAATAGAGTGGATAGGAGTTGTTATAACAAAGTACCACAGACTGGGTGGTTTAAACAATAGAAATTTATTTTCTCCTACTATCTTTTTTTCTCACAGTTTTGGGGACTAGAAGTCCAAGATCAAAGTATCAGCAGATTTGGTTTTTTCTGTGGGCTGTAAGGGAAACATCGGTTACAGGCCTCTCTCTTTGGCTTGCAGGTGGTCTCCTTCCTGCCTCTTGATGTGTTTGTGTCAAATTTCCTTTAGTCATAGAGACACCGGTCATATTTGATTGAGACCTGCCTTCATGGCCTCATTTTAACAAAGTCGCCACTGTAAAGACCCTGTCTCCAAATACAGTCACATTCTGAGGTGCGAGGGGTGAGGACTTCAATCTGTGAATTTTTAGGAGGACACAATTCAGGCCATAACATGGAATGTGAGAGAAGGAGAAGAATCAAAGGTGACATCAGGGTTTTTGACCTGGTGGAGTGGTCATTAACTGAAATGGCGAGGACTATAGGAGAAAATGTGTTCAATCTGGGAACATCAAGATTGAGAACTGGATATCCAGGTGGGGATGTTGACTAGGCAGCTGAATAGTCATTTCCGGGGCTTGGGGGCGAGACTGGAGCAGGAGATACAAACGTGGGAGTCACTGGCACAGAGATGCCATTAAAATCAGGAGACTGGGCAAGATGGCCAGAGAGCAAGTGGAGGTAAAGAGGGCCAAGATGGAACCCTGGGCACTCCTACATCAAGAGGCCAGAAAAAGAGAAAGACCCGACAAAAGAGGCTGAGAAAGAGGCAGGAGGGAGCCCAGGGGTGTGTCATATTCTGGAAAATGACGTGTTAAGCAGGAGAGGTCAGGAAAGGTGGGGGCCAATGATTGGCCATTGGATTTATACTGTGAGGTCACTGATGACCTCAATACGAGTAGCTTCAGCAGAGTATTGGGGGCAAAAGCCTAATTTGTGAACATTCAAGAGAAAATCAGAGAGGAATTGGAGGAAGTATTTACACTTCTTTTTTTTTCTTTTTAAGATTTTATTTATTTATTTGACACAGAGAGAGAGAGAGACAGTGAGAGAGGGAACACAAGCAGGGGGAGTGGGAGAG